ACTCTGCATCGTCTCGCGGGACCGGGGAACTTCGTTTCAAACGTCAAAGTTGCCAGTTTTTACAACCTGATTACGTAATTTTACGTAATTAAACCGCAATTTGCTGTTTTCACACCAGCCTTCCGTTTAAACGAACCTTTCCAACCATGGAATTCATAAACTGATCAATTCGTTTCATTTTTATTTCCTATTTCATCTTCGAGACAGATTTTCTTCCAGCGAAGAGTATTAAATTTCTGAATGTCTTTTATCGGTTTACGATTCGTATCGTGGTTTACTTGTTTTTTAAAGAGGCTCAAGGTAGTACACGGACGACTTTCAGTTTTGCTTGCTTGCTTTCTACTTCAACAAAATCCTGACGTTCGGTAAATGTCTGTTGATGCAAATTTCTACCTTCATAGAATGTTCATACATCTACACCCTTAAATCGACGGAGAATTACGTGGAAATTACTCGAAATTATCGTCTAACAAGAGCAAAAACTTAAACACGTTTCCTTTTTCACACTTCGCCCCTCGATACATCCTTACCCATTCAACGTTCATTACCCTAACACGTCATTCAATGCTCCCTCCGTTATCCACCTCTTGATCTACAACCATCCAAGCGCATCGTCCCTAGAACTACTGCTAAAAAAATTCCACACCAGCCCACTTGTACACACGACTAACGTGATGATCGAGATTCCTCTTTGCACAGTGCATAAAAATGACGACATAGACGCGAAGTATGTAAAGCAGGCTACGAGAGCGTCACATGCAAACGGCCTAATTGCACAGCCGTGTAATTGAAACCTTGCCGGTGGTGCAGACGGCACGAAAGCGAGCGTTCCATCTGCAAAAACATTCCGATGCGACAATGTCCCGTTATCGACGAGCTTCTTCTTGCATTCTCTTAACTCGAGAGTGCGAGAAACAGAGAGACAGAGTGAAAGGGGAGAAGAGTGGGTCGAATTTGTTGAGAACGTATAGAGAGGCGAGGGAAATTAATTTTGTGGGAAAAGGAGAAGAAGGTAGTTAGGATAAAACGGATGGACTTTAGGAGATTTCTGAGGTGACACGTCCATCTGGGAGTGAGACCATCGCGAGTTGCTCGAGAGAAAGAAATTTAGCAGTGTAGATGATACTGAGAGCGATGGAGGAGAGAGTTGGACACAGTTTGAGAGTACTCTCGAGGGCAACTATCGTAAGAAACTCTCAGATATTACTCAGATAAACTCTCACATATTCTTAGAACACTTAGCTTTTTGACAGTTTATGCTGTGTGAGACTCGGGCAAAGCGTGAAATACCTAACTGTTTAGCTCAAGAGAGACTCTTAGGAAGAAAGTTGAAAAGATAATTATTAAAAAAATGACGTCTGAAATATAAATTTTTTTGAAAGTAATTCGTAATTTTATTAGACTACCAGAGGGTCAATCACGTTGCTTTTCCACACTCTCTCTCGTCTTTCGTCACACTTTAGGATATTACACCTAGATATCTTACAAAGTAACACCTAACGCTACAACCTAACACATTTCCCGCAATTTCGCCAAGTTGCAGGCTTCAATGAGCCAATCCAGGCAACGTAATAATCCATTAGAACGGTATGCTTAATCTGACAGTCACCTCGGAGTTTCCATGCTTATCAACGAGCACACCACTAGTGCTGTCATGTACATACAAACTGAAACGGCCGCGATTCGTAGAAACTACACAGAGACAAGCACGGTCGTCTCTCCTTCCTCTTCCTACGGTCGACGATTGTTCCGTCGAACAATAGAAAGTTACCTCCCGGGTTAAACGAAGCCGTCGCTACCGTTGACAAATTATGGCTCGCGGTTTTGCGACCGTGAATCCACGATGACGTCCAAGAGCCAGACGGGGACGGTTTGCACCGAATGGAAATCGGCCGAGTAACCCGCAGTTCGAGGCGGCTGGTTTACTTAGAGGAAGACGATGAAAAGGTTATTAATAGGTAGTCGAGAGGGTCCTTTTGAAATATTAGAGATGGTCAGGATAGAGGGTATTGTGACGGAGAGTTTATGTTTGAATTTTGCTGGAATAATTTCGAGGATTCTGCGGCGGGAGGAAATTACGGATTACACTGGGTGTCTGGGTGAAAGTCGTAAAGTGACGACGAAGTGTCTAATTGCTGGAAATGGGTTAAACGATCGATTAAAAAATAGCTTTGTATATACGTGGGAATTTTTGTAACGAATAAGTGAGTTTCGAGTGATAGAAATGCTAGAAAAGAATTTTTGAGATTAGGGTGCAATGTAAGAGTGCATGGCCACCCAAGATTTTAGATGAAAATGATCGAATGAATCCCAAGAAAATTTGCATAAATTCTCTAGATTGAGCGAGAGGAAAGATAAAATAGCGAACGAGAAAATATGTCAACATAAAACAATTTTATGTTGTTTCAGTTGAATCATACACTGTTTTAAGTCTATACAAAACTCTGCTTAAAAATTTCCATCTTATCGTAGATAAACCAACAAGCAATTCCTCTAGCAGTGATTCGGTTTATTTAAGAAATCTTTCAATCTCGCTAAGAAGTTTCTACGAAAACGAAATTCCTATATATCCAATGAGAGTTTCACTTCTATCGATTACCTCGAGTTAAAGATAATCAACGTGGCAGAGAATCAGTTAAGATTGAAATTTGTACTCTTGACTATCGGAAAGACGGTATCTGTTAGCATTGCAGATATTACTATTTAACCCTTGAAAATGAGTTTCACAAAGATCGAGCAATTAGGATACCTTCCAGCAGCAGCCAGTTAATAGAAAGTTCAGTTTAGTTTGTTCTATAGAAGACGAATTGTATCGTTACGTGGGGACAAGTAAAGATATTTAATGGCTCGAAATGGGGTAGGGAGTAAAGATAGAAGAGGTTGAAAAACGGTGATCACTTGGTGAATGAGATTTAACGAGCTTAGACGACGGCAACGCCATAGCGAATGCATTATTGAATAGAATACAACACTCGAGCAGTCTAAATGTTTTGAATATCGTTGAACTTCCCGGTCTAATCGTTCCAAGCATCAGTATCTTAAGCGGAAAGTTCTGGATGGAGCAGTTACCGCGATTCAAGCTCGAATGGACCAATAGTACTTCCTCCGAACTGTTTCGAGATAACGAGGGTTAAAGTTCCGGAGCTGTTGTGTAACGAGCAGTTTTAATTGGAACGCGATAAAATGAAAATCGAAAACGTT